ATATTCAATAAGCAAAATAACCATTATGTGACACCTTAATTTTATATATTAATTGTAAAAGGAGCAAATATACACATTTATAGTATCTTTTAATTAATTTTGAAAGTGTAATTTTCATGAACTAAAACAATTAATTTAAAAATAATTTACCAAAAATGACTGTAGTAATTTAGAAAATCATGAAAAACATACTTATGCATGTATGTATTTTTATTTATTCTCAAGTTTTTTTCTGTTACCACTTCGAAATCCTCTCGGAATCTGATGTTTTTTTACATTTTTTCATATTGTTTATTTTTTTTTATTTTTTAAATAAATCTATTTTTAAATATTTTTTTTTTGAATCATTTAAATTTAAGAAAACGAAAAATATTCTCTAATTTTTTATTTTTATTTTTATTTTGGTATTTGATTAAGTTAATTATAGTCTATATTGATTTTGTCATAATATATATGTATATATAGTTACATACATATATATTTAGATTAAATAAATAAATTGAAAACATACAAACATAAATGTAATATTAAAATAGTTAATAACTATTTAATTGTATTTGTGTTGATTAAAATTCGTAACTAAAAAATAAACTTAAATATATATAATTAATAAATTTTCTGTACATACTTATATACAAATATATAAATTATTAATAATAACATTCAAGCATACAATGTGTACATACGTCACTTTATCATCATTATAATGTTACCTATACAAGAAACATTCATAAATTCTTTTTTGTAAACAAAAACACAGAAGGAGAAAAATCAAAAAATAATAATATACTTTTATGTATACATAATTATATAAAAAATATGTCAACAATTTAAACGCCGGCACAAATTTATGTATGTGTATATATATTATATATTTGTATATATAAGATGTGTAGTGAAAACTATTGTAGTAGGAGTTCATATTACCGATTTAAGTGATTACTGATTATAAATTTATTCAAATATATATATTATCGCTTCAGATCAGAATTATCTTAAGCCCACTTTAAAGTAAGATTAGTTTTTTTTTACTAGATTTTAGTATATTTGATTCTAATACAACGGAAACATATAGTTATGGCTCAAGCAGACATACAATTTTTAATTTTGCAATTACTTGTTGATTGTAAAGTCGTTGCGCGCACATCTAAACTTTGCGTCAATTTAAAATCTATAGCGTTAATTAAAAATTACAATCGGTTTGTAAAAAATTACAAACTGTTTGATTGGATATTAGCATGCGGATCATACAGTTGCCATAAATGCGCACTTGAATATAAACCTATAGAATACAAATGAACGTTAAAACAGTTGCAAAACTAAAAATTTCTTGTCTGCCTGAGTCCTCGGAGACTCTAAGCTTATTTTTTTGCTTTATAAAATTGATAAGTACAACGCGCAAATTTCAGAAATTTTTGATACAAAACATTATGATCCGCATGATAGCCGGTTTTTGGAACTCGGTCTTTAAAACGAAAATATTTGAATTTCTAAAATTAATAACATTTTACTAATTAAGTTTCATCTAATCTCAAAATTATAAGAGAAAAATTAAATTCAAAAACATTTTTAAAAGCTCTCCCGAAAAAATTTCAAATTGCGACTTAGCATAGTGCTGATCCAAAGAGACGATATTATTACTATTGTGTTGTTTTACTAATACAAATATAATAATTATTTACGTTTATTTTAACTAATTCCCAATTTATAATTAATTTGTCTTTAGGTTAAGGTATCTGAAAAGAAATTATTAATTTTTGACTATTTCTCTAAATCATAATTAATTGAAATTTTATTTAATTACCTACTCATATTAGAGTTAATGACTGCATTAAGTAAATACCCACGTATAGTTTGTTTAACTAGGTAAGTAACAAAGAAAAAAATTCAATTAACTTAAATGTTATTATGACCTTTTTATTATCATAATTATCTATCTATTATTAATATTATTAAAATTGTCTTATTTGACCTTAATTTTTTTACAATATTATTTAAATTTTTCTACTGTACTTAATATTAGTTGCCATTTTTTGCATTTACATACACAATTTACTTGCAAACATTTCAGAAAAGAGAACAATAATTATTACTTTAAACCTTGTTTTCCAACTAATTTCAGATTTTCGGCTCGAATGTTAATTCTATTTAAAATATTATTTAAAAATTGCAAAAATTATAGATTTTTATTTTTTAAATATACGAGTACATGCGCGTTAAATTTCTAATAATATTTAATGACCCATCGGATCTCGTCATAGGATATGCTTAATATAATCAAATTTTTATGATTTCTGATTCTTTTATCTAAATTCATGCATACATATATTAATAAATATACGTACATACATATTTAATTATAATTTTTGGAAAATCAACAAAAATAGCATGTTTTTGAAAGAATTTTGAAGAAATTTGAAGAAAATTAATAAAAAAAAAAAAAATATTTATTGTAGATATTTTTGTTTCTAATAATTTAAAAAATTAAGGCAATAAATAACGTGTTCTGTACATGCTGAATATTTCAATTAGCTCAATAAATAAGTATACATTAATTTAGAAATTTAGAAATTTAGTAATAAATAAGAATGTTGTTTTTTGAAAATTGGAAATTTTTTTAATTTGAATTTAATCTGAAATGCTAAATAACTTTAAACTAATGAAAAAAACCTAGTGCTTTTGTGATTTTTATTACTTTTATATTTAAATATTTTTGCAATATATTAAAATAATGTAATCGTAATATATACACACTTGTATAATTAATTTACATTTAAAATAAACAATTTTACTTTAAGTTAAAATTGTTTATTTTAATTATTAATATTAGTGAATAAAAATCTTTGTTTCACTATTTAGACAAAGGAATTTTTTGTAGTACTTAGACATTATTTTTTTTTTAAATATAAAATAGATGTATAGGGCGTTTCGAATAAGTTTCGAATATACTCGTTTCCGAGTTACAGTATGTTGAAAAAACTTAGTCCCAGATTTCATATACATAAATAAATGCAAATAATTTCGGAGTTGTGCAGCGTAAAGTAATCATTAGACACTTTTAAAGACATAATTTTGTTAGACAGTTTTAAAGATAATTTTATTCATACAATCAATTACATTTCACTTTTAGTTTTCGAGAACTCGGAAGTTTTTGTAATTAAATGCTATTGTTTTTCCGATATGCTATAATGAGATACAAAAGTCCCCCATAAAATATTGTCTTCAGTCTGTCATAGTCTTACAAGTACAATGAACTTACTCTAACCACCCTGCAAAATTGTTTAAATTAAATTTTTTAATTACTTATATTATTTAGGTGTATATAGGTGCCTAATTTTATTTGATTTTTTTTTTTAAATTATGAAAACCTAGTTAAAATCATAAAAATTAAAGTCGCCTATTTATTATATATTTAAATTGTATACACCTAGATATACTATAAACTCATTAATATTTAAAATAAATATAGAAAAAAATAAATCAAATAAGTAGTAAACATAAATAATGAAATGTTTATTTATTTTATACAAATACTTATGTATATATACATATTTGAATATATATTTATTATTTATTTAACAATCACAAGATTTGTTTCAAAGTTCAAATATTTTGTAGGTTAAAGAAAAAAATGAACTTTTCATATTAATAAGAATATTGGATAGTTGATATGTATGTATGTAGGTATGTATTTAATAAGTTAATAGAGTGATTTAATAATTTTTAGAGCACACTTTACATAAAAACATAAATCCATTTTTTATTAAGTAACTAGTTATTATTTAGTAACTAGTTAAAGTTTTTATTATAATATAAGATTGATAAATTAAAATCTAAAAACCTAAATGAAATTATTTTCAATTTTGCCTAGGCAAGATACGAATACACAAATTTTGTTTTGAAACCGGACCAAATTATATTTCTTAAAGTGTAAAAATATTAAAGATACTACAAACTACACATAAAAATATTAGAAATATTAAAATGAGTAGTCATTATATAGTAGAAATAAATACACAGTTATATACATATTTTATATGCAAGTATATAACACGAATAATGTTCTGATTATCTACTTTTTATATACATACATACATACTCATTTCCTACCAAAAGTTCAAAGTCCTTTAAAGTTACAATTCGAAATGATTTGTAATATATATACATATATGTATAATATGTAAACATTTATTCATCTAGATTCTAGATACTTATTTTTTTTTGTATAATTTTTCTGTTTTTTATATAATATATAACGTATGGAGGTAGGTAGGTTTGTATTAAGAAGGAAAATATAAATAAGGTTAAGTGATTTCATTAATTTTTGTTATAAATATCGATACTTAAGTAGAGTAGTGCAATTCAAGATAGGTAACAAAACTACAATAACACTATAAAGTAAAATTTATGTGCTTTATTTTTAATTTTATTTTGCAAGGAAAAAATTGATTATTTAGTAAAAATTTAATGAATTGTATGATTTCAATTACAAAATGAAATATTTATGAAAAATTTACGATTTCATATATTAATATCTAGCTATTTCCAGATTAAGCTTAAATATTTTTTGTCGAATACCAACCAAAAAAAGATGACGTAGTCAAAATAAAAATGTGGAAAACAGAACAGAACAGAAAACCAATGTACATCATTTTATATGCATGTATGTTATACTGTTGTTCTTATTATTATAATTTATAAAACGAAAGACATGTATGTAGGTAGGTGGGTACCTACATATCTTATTCAAGAGTATACCTCCTAGATAAATATATAGTATAAAGGAACCTAGCATAAAAATTACATTGCAATTGAATAGATGAAAGTAATACAAAAAAAAAAAACTTCTTACGTCTACATTTAATTATTGCGTAGGCATGGGTACACATATAAAAAAACTATTGAAAAAAAATTTAGATTCAATAAAATGTGCCTAAAAAAATTAGAACATATTAAACTTACAAATATTTAAGTATATAATAATTATTTATAAAACTAACCTGGTCCATAAAATCTTTTTCCAGCGGTGACATCATAAACATTACCATTAACAGCCATTAATATTCTACCATCTGGTTGTTTACCATCATATTCTTTTAGTTCTTTAACAGTGAAATCACGTTTTTTCATTTTTGGTAATTTTTCCTCTTTTGGACTCTGATTAGTATGTGGTTCATCGAATCGGCCTCTAATAATTTTATATATTAAAATTGCTATTATAACCACTAATAATAAATTCAATGGGCTATAAAAAATTTCACTTAATATACTAGCTAATAAACTCTCTGTTTGTTCATCAACAATAGGTTTTTGATCTGTTTCAGTTGTAGCTCCAGCTGTATTTATATTACCGGAACCTTCCATTTTCTTTTAAATTATTTTTCTTCAATATTTTGTCCAATAAAATTAGAATGAAAAATAAATCAATGAACAATTAATCCAAAAAAAAAAAATTTTTTTTTTTCTTTTTAGAAGTTTTTTGGTTTTTTTCTCTTATTTTCTTTTTTGATTAAAAATTTCAAATTAGAAAATTTAAAATATGAAAACAAAATTTGTGTCGTTTGAAATCTTCACGACAGTTTTTTACGACGGAATTAAATTAGAACTGGTTTTACTTCTATGCAAAAAAAAAAACACACAAAACCTTTTCAGTAAAAATTATTGAGTTCTGGCGCACTTTGTAAATAAAATACTAAATTTGCTTCTTAAAGGATTTTTTAATAGTTATGACGCGTCAATCGTGTAAATAAAAATCGTGTTTGTAAAATTATACAAACATTTAAAGCCAAAGTTGAATAAATTTTTGTTCACGAAAAATATTTAATAATTAAGCAAATTTTAAGCACAAAATTAAAAAAAAATTTAACTTATTCTTTTTAGTTTTTTTTTTTTATTAATTAAAATATTTGCTTTCGATAAACTTTTTCAAACACCAAATGAAAACAAGGAACTTACTGCACTGAAAATGACAATTTCAAAATAGAACAGCTTCAAATAGTTCTATTTCCACATATTCCGATACTGTCAAAATTGAAAATTCATTTAATATTGTCAAAATTAAATATTTTTACAACAATTATGACCTCTGGTGAATAGAATAAAAACTTTTAAGGAACTTAAAAGGAACTGTTCTTGAACGTTAATAAACAAAGCCAACTTTACGTATAAACACATTTTATTAAATTTACATACTTATTTAATAACTAAAAATTTGATTAGTTCATAATAGAAATTAGATGAAAATCTTCCTTACAGCAAAGCAAAATATCAAATGGCTTAATTTCAACTAAATCTCATATGTTTTTTAATCCAATCTCTAAGTTCGGACATGGTCTTTCAATTTTAAAATAATTCATACTATTAGTATTGTTGCAGTTGAATACTGAACTTGATAAAATTGCTGGTGTGAGCCAAATAATATTGGAAATATAAACACAGCCAGTTAATATCAGAAAATTAAAATGTCAGTGTCAAAAGTCTAGGTAAACAAACATATGCTTTTTTGCAGATTTTTCCAACATGGTTAAAATTGTATAACTAAAGGGTATTTGTAAATTGAAATAAAAGTTGGTTCTTTGTAATATTAAATAAATTCATAAAGCAATATGTTTCGATTTCTAAAAATATTGCCAAGAAATGTCAACCAATATTTAGCACCCACAAAGAATAAATTTTGCTACAGAAGTATATGCAATGTAGAAAATCAGACCAACAACAAAAGTTTAAATGCCAATTTTATTGGACTAAATAGCTTAGCTTTGAAAATTAATCAGGATTTGGTATGTCCAAAGTCAACGTATTTTAATAATCGGAATAATACCAATAGCGAAGTGGTCAATTCGGTATTATATGATCATAGTAATGTGTTCGGATATATTAAAAATTACAGGCAAGTTTATATAGAAAATCCTAATGCAACAATAGAAATGCCGCCACAAAATAAAGTAGAAGATGTAATACAAGCGGCTCGATTAATAGTTATTAGAAGAAGGAAAATGAAAAAGCATAAACTTAAAAAGTTAAGAAAAAAAATGAAATTTGAATGGGCAAAAGTTCGTCAAAGAAGAGAAATGCGCAAAGAAAAAGCATTTCAAGCGGTTCTCATTAATCAAATTAAGGAAGCTGAAAGATTTAGTGCGGAACAGTATGTAGAACAGAAGCTTAAACAAGCAAATGAAGTTCCCATCCCACGATTTTGGAAAGGCAGGCGCTTGCCAGCTTTCATTATAAAAGAAAAATTAGGGATCAAGTAATCGTTTTCAAGCTGCAATTAGAAAATTTAAAAAATTATACCGAAATAATTTTCATAATAAATTTAACAATTTATTTTCGACTCCTTTATGATTTTACTACACAAATTTTGTATTTTATTTATCCTTTTTTGAAATTTCAGCAACTTCAGTGCCTCGGAAATTAGGAAACTGTTCCCATGGTGCATTCAAATCGAACTTTCTAAATTCTTGAGCTAATTCTAAAGGTTCACATACGACTCGTTTCTTTTCGTCATCGTATCTAAGCTCAACATAGCCGGATAGTGGAAAATCACGTCTTTGTGGGTGTCCTTCAAATCCGTAATCTGTTAAAATTCTTCTTAGATCAGGATGGTTAGCAAAAAATACACCGTACATATCCCAGACTTCTCTTTCATACCAATTTGCTGCTTTATGTACGTCACAAGCCGAATCAACTGGAGTTAATTCATCAGTATATGTTTTTACACGAATTCTTGAGTTATAACGCAATGATAGAATATTATAAATGATTTCAAAACGATATTGACGACAAGGTACATCCATACCAGCAATATCAACTAAATTTGTGAACTGTGAGTTCTGGTGGTCTTTCAAAAACTGAAGAACTTGTGTAATACCTTCTGGTACTACCAATACTTCCAATTCATTGCCACTTGTTAATTGTACTCGTTGCACATATTTTGGTAAACATTCTAATACATATTTCCCGAAGCCTGTTAATTGGGAACGTACTTCTTCAACTTCTTTGGACTTTACTTCAGCTGCTGCTGTCGATGAATATGGAATGGCTGATTTGTAGCCTATTTGTAATGCTCTGCCATTTCGACACAAATTTTGAATTGCCGCACCAACTAATTTGTTCATTTTGCAATTCTTTAGAAATTTTACTTGTACGAAGAGATTTCCACTATTTTTGCATAACAATCTGGAAAGTTGACGTTTCAATTTGACAACTAAATTTGAAACATCCTCGATTTTGACACTATTTGTGAATTTTCAAAGTACTGTGTTCAGTTTGCAAAATTGCTCTGAATTTAATATTTCGATGAGCTCATAAAAATAATGACAAAAATAGACATTTTTGCTTTTTATAAATCATTTATGGGCTATTTACATTCGCGCTTGGCTTTTTTTTATGTAGAATTGAAATTTAATAATAAACTTAAGTAAATAAAGAGAAAATCTTTTAAATTTTGCTTGTCAAGTTGATTGAGCCATAATATAACTAATTTCCTGTCTATTGACTTTACTGCTTGCATTTAAATAAAAATAGCTTCCTTGAGGAAAGCTATTTTTAATATTGTTGAAAACTATTTTCAACATTAATTAAGCTGTAATCTAGAATTATGTTAATCCTAGGTTATGATTTAATTTAGCATTTTTCAATGATTTTTTTAAAAGATTATGTGTCAAATTCGAGGATATTTTGACTCTTAGTTTTTAATAACATCTTGGTAAATAAAAACCATGATCAGCTGTTAAAAGAAAAACAGTTAACAGCGAGTTGTTTTTAAAAAGCATTAAAGTGTTTTCAAAATATATTTTAAATTAGATTTGGTTAAAAAAAGCTATAATGACATCGGTAGAATTATATTTTTCCGATGAAGAAGAAGAAATTTTGGAAGTGAAAAGAATAAGGAGAAGTTTAAGGGACAGTTTTAATCCGATGGAGTTAGACAACGACGTGTAAGTGAAATAATTGGCTATTTAGTTATTATAGCATTTTTAATTCATTTTAGATTCATAAGAAACTTTCGTTTATCAAAGCCTGCATTTCTTCATGTGTATAATAGTATTGAAGATAAACTGCAATTAAACATAAGACAACAAGCTGTACCAAACATTATTAAATTAGCGGCTGCCTTAAAGTTTTTCGCATATGGTGATTACCAGACATCTTTCTTCGAAAATGATCTCGATATGGGCCTCGCACAGTCTACACTATCATATATATTTAAGGTAATAAAATAATAAAAAAGAACGTACCTACCAACTTATACTTAATGTGAATATTGAAATTTAAGTAATGAGATATCTATCTCGGTTTTTAACCAGCCTATTTTTAAGTATACTTCATCTATATTATATGTGTCAACTTTAATTACAGGAAGTATTTGATGCACTGGAAAGTAATATTTGTTCAAAGTATATAAATTTTGAATATAAACCGGATGAACTACGCAGAGTAAAAGACCATTTTTACGAAAAATATGGTATTCCAAATGTTATAGGTTGCCTCGACAATACACACCTCAAAATTATAATGCCAAAGAAAGATCTTCGACATTTGTATGCAAACCGAAAAGGCTTTTTTAGTTTAAATATTTTAGTTGTGAGTAAGAAGTATTGTTTTCAAAAATGTTATATATAATTCATCTTTCGCATAAGGTATGTGATGACTTAATGCACATACGATATATTGATGCAAGAAATCCTGGAGCAACATGCGATGCCGATGTTTGGAATAAGTCAAGTTTAAAGCGAAAACTTCATGAAGATTATTGTAATAACCGCAAAACTGGTGTGCTTTTGGGTAGTAACGCTATTTCTTAATTTTTGTTTTTTAAATATGTAACTATAAGTAATACTAAATCTACATTTTTTCAAATTTAGGAGATGATAAGTATCCCCTTACTCCATATCTTTTAATACCCTATAACAATGTAGAAAAAGGATCATTGCAAGAAAAATTTAACAATAAACATAAACTTGCACAAGAAGTTATTGAAAAAATGTTTGTAATATTGAAAAGTAGGTTCAGATGTTTACTGTCAACAAAAGAGTTGCATTATAGTCCAGAAAAGGCAACGCAAATAACTAATATATGTGCTGCACTACATAACATTTGCTTAAAATATAAAGTTGAAATGCCTGATATTCAAAAAGAAAATAATCAAAATGATGATAATTCGATCGATGCTAAATATGGAGAAGATGAAATTATCAAAACGTCATCAAATGAATTATATAATGGTGGAAAGTTAGTGAGAGATTCAATATTAGATCTTTTTAAAAAATCATAAGCCCTTGTGGCAACAGAATCTCAATATAACACACAAAACACAAAAAATTTTTTTATTTTTTTAGATTGGGTAAAGTCTATAATATTGTTAAGTTTTATTCTCTTATATTTTATAAAATGCATTTTAAACTATAAAAGTATTTTTTAAAAATTTATTTTTATGAAGGTCTATATGAGAATAAAATTTATGAAAATAATGCTATTTCAAAGTATGAAAAAAATTAATGATTTGAAGGGTCACCTGTTTGATTTTTTTCCTTTGTAAAATTGTGAAGAAACTGATAAATCTAGTCGCAAGAATGTGAATGAATTTTATTAAATTTAAGAGTTATTTTAACAAATAAAGTCACAAGTTTTCGTATATATTATAATGTATCTACATATGTATGCTTTGTTATTTTATTCAAGTAGCTACTCATGTGAATATTCAGCAAATAATTTTGAAAAAAAAAGCCGGGTTTGTTTTATATTCCTACATGTTTCTCAAATTCTATAAGAATTTAATAATTAATAATTCTACAAGAATTTCAGTAACTTGTAAAAATATAAATATATGAATAGCTGAATTCATTATATACTTATAAGATGATAAGTATACAAATGAATAAGTACGTATGTATGTATACACCACAAATAATAAGAAGCATGAATTATAAATTAAATTTATAAGCTTATATTATTGTGTTGTCTGTTAGTCTGTGCAGTCATAATTTTGTACATATAATAAATTTTATATAAAATTAAGAAATTTTGTTTTTATTTGCTATTTTTTTTTTTTCGAAAAATAATTTATAACCTCTTCATAATCAATTATTCGTCTTTTGTTAAAATTAAATAATTAAAAAATAATTAAAAAAACAGATTCAATTTTACAATAATTGGTACAAACTTATAAGTTGCATTGTATAAATAAAAATTTACGACAAATTAAAATCTAAAATAAAGCGCTTAATAAAATTACTAAAAATTCTTGATTACCTTTTTAAATATGCTTGTTAAAATTCGAATATAACTACTTAGTTATGCTAATCGTTAATCGTAAAGATAAGTATAAATAAAAAGAAAAGAAATGTATGTATGTACATATATATAAAAATAAAAACCAGAACGAAAAAAAAATAAATAAAACAAAAATAGTAAAATATAAAATAAATAAAAATATTAGCAAAATAATAAAAGTAAAAAACTTTTTAAGAGATTAGTTGTCAAACGGGCAGTCATCATTGTGGACAGATTTCGAAAAAAAAGAACACAAATTAATTTTTTTGTTTTTGTAAATTATCTTCGTGTGTGCGTTGTTCTCTTCTTTATTTTATTTCTTAGTTTTATTTTTATTTTTTTCTTTTTGTTGTTTTAATTTTAAATTAATTATGCCCATTTACAAAAGTTGAGATACAACGATGCATTATTTCGATTTTAAAATTTAAAAATCCTACTTACATACATACGTACATTGTTATTAATTACTAATCGAAACTTGTCGAATTTCGAATAAAAAAAAAAACATTTTATTGTTTTTTTTCTTCATTATGGTTGACGTAATTTCAATTTCATTATTACTTATTTTCGGTGATTATTTATGATTGTATACACATGTGTAGTATGTAAACAACATTAGTAATAAAAATAAAAATAATTATAATAAAAAATTCAAGTATAATAATAAAATTTTATATTTTAAAATTCAATATTCAATAATTTATTCGTGTGTGATTAAGAGTTACAAAACAAAAAGTAAAAAAAAAAAATGGAAATTAAATTTTGAATGTTTAAAGTTTTAATCTAAATTTTTTTTTTTTCGAAATCCTTTTTCGAATATACATATTTCGAAATTGTTTGTAATGTACTTTTATTTTGTAGACCAACTTAAATAATATTAAAATTAGAATTTTTAATATATTTTTTTTTTTCTGTTAATAATTTGGTATTTAATCAATTAAATGTAGTGTTAAATATAAAATATTAAAAATATAAAATATAATATAATATATATAAAAATTTGTTGTTTTTTGTTAAAATTTTTGTATATAATGTAAAAATGTGTAATATAAATGTATGAATGAAATATGTATGTGCATGAAAATTAAATTTTAATTTAAAATAATTAATATTACAAAGTGTATACATACATATGTACGTATATAATATAAAATTGAGTAACTGTAAATTTTTAATATTTAAAAATTAATAATAATGGCCACAAATAAGGAATTGGTTATTGATTGGAAATCACTTGGTTTACCAGATAATTGGACGACACGAGGTAATTTTATTTTTTTATAAACAATATTTTTAATTTTGAATTAAAAATGAAATGTCGCAAAAGAAATTTCGAAATATTTGGTTTTTTTTTTTAATTTTTATAGCCTGAAACTAATTTGTGCAAATATATGAATAAGAATGTTGATTTCTAAATTTTAATTTGTATTTTTATATTCGAAATTAAATTTGCAATAAAATAAAAAATTACACAAATTTTACAGAGTTCGTTTTTCATTGCATGTATGTATTTAATGTACATATGTACAGGATTATTTATTTTAAATAATAATAAAAATTAAAAAATAAATTTCAAATAATTTTGCTGCCTCATATATGTAAATTGTGAAAAAAACAATATTTTTAAGGTTTCGATTTTTTCATTGTTCCCGAAACTGATTTTTGTTGGCTTTTATATAGACCAGTCTAAAATTTTGCTATTTTTATTCTTTTTCTTTATGAAAAACTGAATAAATTTTATTTAGTAAAAATTGAATAAATTTTTTAAATTTTCAATACACATAAATAGGTATTTCTTGTAATTTTGAGCAAGTAATTGTAGATTTGCACACATAATAATGATATGATTGTGGATGAAAACTTGATTGGATTTTTAAAATTCCATTCCTGTTTTTAAATTCTTTTAGCATATTTAGAAACATTTACAAAACAATTTACTTAATTGTATTTATTATTAAAATTTATATTGTTTCAAAAAGTATATTATATAATGATATTTGTTATATAATATTTATTTAGAAAGCGAATATGAATTTGAACCAACTTAATATTTCAAAATTTAATTTTTAAATGAGTACCAATCAGTACAGTTTCCTATATAGATTAATTGCATTTGATAGGATTGCAATTAATTGCTTCTAAAGATTTTTCGCCCATTTCTTTCCCACATTACGGAATATGGTCCATTCAATCATGACACGTAACAAGTAATGTCTTATTATAGGCAGCATGTCATTTATCAGGAATGATTGGACTACTCCGCTAGTCCCTAATTTTCTGTAAGTACGTTCAATAATAATAACGTTGTTAATAATATTTTTTTCTTTCACACATTACAAATGAAATATTAATTTAATAATACTTTCTTAGTGCAAATTTAAAATTATAACACTATTTAAATTAGTCATTCTAGTCTAAAGGCTAAAAAATTAATGAATTTTTATTTGAATATTTAATGTATATTTTATTCTTTCTTCAAATTAAGTATCTTGATTTAGTTATTTAGGTTATCATTTACATACATAAATAAGATTGAAAAATCATAAGATTAAATTTAAAATAGAAACTTATTACTAATAATATGTATAACGGTATCTAATTTTTATTATATGTATATGTATATAATAGAATTAGAATTCTTATCTTTATTAATAAATTTGGTCAAAATTCACAAATTTTGCATATTGTTAATATTTTATTATTTACTTATAGCAATCGAAATATAAAAGTTAATTAAAATATATTTATACTAAGCATATAAGTACAATATAACAAATTTTTAAGAAATTTTTGGAAATTTTCTTTTTTTAAATTTATTTTATTTCCATTTAATATAATTTTTTAATAAAATCTAAAAATGAACACAATTGTGTTGTATGTTGCACAGCTAATACCTATAGCATATATAGTTAAAAACAAAAATGTTTTTTCTATAACGCCTTCTACTTACATACATATAAGTAAGTAGGTATTTATTATATACTACCTCACCTGTTTAGCATATTGTTTTAAAATTTTTATTATAAATATGTGCCTATGTATAAGAATTATAGCAATATGCCGACACAATCTGAAATGGAATTTTTAAGAATATTTTTATAATAATTTAAATAAAAATTAAGTTAATTTTAATACCAGTTTTATAAATATGGTTTTATATTTTAAAAAATTCATTAATTTTAATTAAAGGTTATAATTATTACACATGGTTTTATATTATATAACAATATAAAATTTGTTACTCTACTTAAATATGTATAAGAATTTCAAAAACAGAAGTATTTTTTATTTATTAAACTATTCGAACTTTTCTTTTACCTACAATAATATTAGGCGTGTAAGATTAAATAAACAAATCGACTAGTTATTTCGAAGGAGTTGACATATAATGGCTTGGGAACTACTACATGTTTTCACTTAAACATTAGGTGAAGTAAAAAAATGTTATGATATTGTTTTGCAGAGTTCAGGCTTGAAATTCTATATTTAATTTGATATATTGCAATACGTAATATAAGTCTACAATTAAACTTACGATCTCATTTCAATTATTTGGGATCCAATAACTTTTTACTTATTTTTAATCAATTAACCAAAAAATTTGCATTGTTTCTATTGCAAGAACAATCAAAACATATTAAGGAACTTATATCAAAAGGAAAAGTAAGGGTAGTTGGTGCTATAAACCCTGAAAATTTTATTAAAACGTGTATTATAATGAGAAACGTATAACACAAGGCAAAGAGCAGTTTAAAATTTTAAGTCAATATAACTTACGGATATATGAAAGGCAATTGAATTAAATTAAAAGTTAAATTTGAATATTATTTTTCATTATACTCGTAGTTTTATTTTGAATTCTTTTATAATTTTTCTTAAAGCCGCATAAATTTATTACTTGGAGTAGGTGTATGTTAATTGATTTATGTTTATAGATTATTATGATTATTAAATATTTATTTTTATATTCCTAGAATAAATGTCATAAATGGCTAACTTATAAAGTTTATATCAAAGTTGTAACTAGTTTAATATTCAATTTGTTAGTACTACTTATATATAGCTACATATTTTATATTTATAGTAAATTTAGGTCAAAAAAAAGCATCCGTTTTAAAACATTTTAAAAC